CAAAAATTCACCTTGCATCCTCTGCTGGAACAAAGAAAAATAAACACATTTTTTTGGTAAGTAGGCGATTTCAAAGAACTTTTGGATGTTGATCTCTGCACCTATATTGAGCTGTCTGTCCTTAATTATGTTGTGTTTTGTGCAATCCAAATGTTAACCAAAGATACACTTACTGTGACTTCCTGTTAGGAATTAAAAATGACAGCAGCACTTCCAAGATGCCTGTCCCCAGGTTTAGTGGAAGCTCCCAAGCAGCCGAGTGAAACCTCGGCCTCTCTGAGGGAGAGCAAAGCCGTCCACCAGCACAGATGCTCCTCTGTGACCAACCTCCTGAAAGCCATGGTTTGACTGAACTGGGGTTGGCTTTTGTAAAGACTTCCATAGGCATTGAAAGCAGGCTCTCTGGGTTGTTCTCTTTGGGCAATTTGGTATGATGGAATAGAGTATCTTCTTTCACAAGTCTTCCCAAAAGGAAAGTAAATGTTACAGCTTTGTCACTAACTCTTTGAACTGACTTCTCACCTTGAATAAAATGTGGCTATGACAGTTGGTCACCTTTTCTGTCCCATTTCCCACCCGTGGTTTCTCATTAAAACAAAACAAAACAACAACAACAAAACAACTTTCCCTAATTTCTTAGGCTTAGAGACAAGCAGTTTATCCAATTTGAGAGCTTCCAGTACTCAATAAATAAGCGTTTACTACATATGAAGAGCCTGGAGGAGCTTCCAATGTGAAACAGCTGTCTCTGTCTGTCACTCTATATAATCTTTACAAGATCCTTTAATCTCAGTTTATCTGGTACTTTCCCAGGTATACAGACGGGCCTTGAAGAATATGTAATGTTTCATCCCATTGTCTAGTCCTGATGATGGTACTTAGGGGAAATTAAATTGAAGATGGCACTCAGGAAGCCTAGACATCGCATAGTCATGAGAGCGTGCAGTGATGTTGAAAATTAAACATTGCTCGAGAATTCTCACAGACATTTTTGCTACCCTGCTTCCACAGCCACCAAGATGGCCTGTTAACAGTATAAACTAGACATTTTTCTAAGACTCAGAGAGGACACACACGTCCTGTTCTGCATTCGGTAACCATCAGCTCTCAACTTAACACACTTTGGATGTTTGTCAGTTCGTTTATCCTGTCAACCTGTTAAGTCTGTGAACACTTTAAACCCAGTTACTCCAGTGTTGTTTAAGAAGCAGCCTTTCAACTGCTGGCTTCCCTGGCTAGATTTCTTAGACGTTTGTAGTTGCGTTGACTGCTAGTTCTGGCTCCATTTCTCCCCTTCCCAGTTGGTTTTGCTGCCTCCCCTGCCTACTCAGAGCCCTGCAATTGTCCCAGAGCAGGCCAGACACTCCTCCATCTTCTGTCCTCAGAGGCACCGGCACCTGCCCCAAACCTTACCAACCTGGGAGGCACTCAGTCACGTCACGTTTCCAGAGTTAGCTCTGCCTTCCCAGTCTTATTGTTTCACTTTATCACCCATCCTGGATAACTTACAGTCCATGTGTCAGCCTGTGCTTAAGCTTGTCTCAAGAGCAATCAACTTCTAGTACTTAAAAAGAAAAAAAATGGCCAGGCGTTGTGAGCCTTTAATCCCAGCAGTCAGGAGGAAGGGCAGGTGTGGAACCGGCCAATCTGGTCTACATAGTGGGTTCTTGGACAGTCCCAGCTATGACCCTGCCTCCAAAATAAGTAAATAGTAAATAAATGTATGTTGGTGGGGGAGAGGAGGACCATATTTGGATTTACTAAGTCCGATTCCTGTCTCTCTGTTTTATTAACTTAAACAGTGCATTTTAAGGTCTTCGATAGCAGCTATGGAATGTGCTCTGTTCTTTTTACCAGCGGCACAGTATTCTTTGCAGTGTTTGTGGTATCATCACAACTTATTTTGCTTTTCTTCAGTTGGATATTCATTTTCCCTGAAATTTGTTTATATCAGATTATTCTGAAGTCAGTTGTTTGAACATTATTAACCTGTATGTTT